TTCAGACTGAGGAAACATTTTGTTCAAAACTTTAAAGAAGTACTACAAATACAGTTTCAGGCAAGTACTTCTTTCACAGGATGTGAATGCGGTGGAATAAGCAGCAAGACTATAACTGCCTTTCCACCCTAAGTGAAGACTGCTCAGCAATTATAGTGCTCCCTATCAGAGTAAGATTTACTGTCAGGGAGCCAGTAGGCTAAATATTCCAAATTCTTCAGACCACATGAGCAGAAATCAGAACATGAATTCCTGTCTGTTAAAAAGGCTCCATCTCTGTGGCAAGAATTTGTGCATTTTCACTGCTGATACTTCGTGTATTATCATAAGTTATCAGGCAAAATTCTGGTACTCACAATGTTTATTTGTTTGAGCAAGAACTGGCAGATCAGCCCCTCTGGACAGAAAGTGTAGATAATGAAAAGATCTGGGATTCATCATTTCGTAACCCGAGCGCATGAACGGAACAACAGTTTGATGTTTGATAAATGCTATACCAGAGCTGTCCAACTGGTGGCCTGAAAGGAGTTAATTTGCAGCTCCCTGGCTCTCACCAACCTACCATTCCCCCATCCCCCAGGGCTCAGGCAAGTTTCTGGGCTCCATCTCTGTCCACTGTCATTTCCTGCCCCTGTCCCATGGGGTGGGGCAATGGGGGTCCACCATGGAGGTTGAGGGTGAATCCAGACCACAAAGGGGTGGAGACTGAGCCTGAACCCAACAGTGCGCCTGTCGTGTTGGAGGATGGGGGTGAGGGGCTGGGGCGATAAGAGCAGTGATAAGGGAATACACCTGCAAGGAGGCACATTGCAGTGGAGTGGGGGCTTAAAGTTGAACAGCCCCATTCTGTGCTATGAACAACAGCTGCATGGCTCTATTAAAATTCACAGAAAACAAATCTTGCATCAGATTTTCTGGAATGGTTATAGATCCCCACCAGCCGGAGTTCTAAGACTGCACAATTTAATATTCTCAGAAGCTGTCAGAACACACTACTGTACCAACACTGAGATTTCAAGTTTCCATGTGCATAGGAGCATCTTAATCAAAAAGCATACAAAAATACAGAGAAACCTCATAGTCTTAGTTTTCAAAAGAAAAGCCTGAGAAAGATGAATTTAAGCAAACTCATGAGACATACCTAATCTCCTGCCGCTCTTGCATCCATTCTAGCAACACCTGCTTTGATTCTGCATCTTGATGCATCTGGAACACAAGTTAAATCCAAGATCTGACTTCCTAAACCCAAAATTAAAGTGCCTGAAACTAAGAGACAAAAAACGACTGGCAAATCCCACTGCATTTGTGAAACAAGCTGTTAAAATCATGGCAATTCCCTATTCTACCTATGATGTAGGGTCTAGGAACTGTACTGTAATAATTAGTTCTCTCATATCATGACTTAAAAAGTCTAAGTCAATGATTGTTGCTATCAGCTAATCCAGGGGTAGGCAAAGTTTTTTGGCCAGAGTGCTGAAAAACACCACCATGTCTACCTCAGAAGGTGCTGGAGTGCTGGCATGGCAGAAAAACAAAATCAGGGCAAGGGGTACATAGCAGGATGCCCTGCTTGTGCCCCTTGCCCCCCACCTAAAGCCCCTGCCCCCCAGCCCTGCTGTCCTTTGGCCCCCACCCAAAGGCCCTGCCCCCCAGCCCAGGGTCTGTGGCTGTCAGCAGCTACCTAGAACCTGCAGGTGGGGGCAGCAGCGAGGGGCACAATCCTGTGCT